AAGAGGAAAGGAAGACTATTACCATTTCCCAAGTGCTCGCAAAAAGCTGACTCAAAAAAGGGTGACTGAGATGCAGATGACCTCGCTGGAATTCACAGATAAAGTGATCCAACCATAGAAGTTGGGCTACAAAAAAGTAAGTAGCTTTTAAAAAGGGTCAAATAATGTGGAAGATGCAGAAAAAAAAAAGCATCCTGTTTTCTGAGAGAAGAGGATAAGTGTGCAGCAACGAACAAAGATGCTTGTGGCAATAACACCTTCAAATGTTATCACATCTCTTTTAGTGGATTTTAGGGTAGACGAAGCGTTGTCTCGTGTTGTGACATTATGAAAATGGTCGTAGTTACTATAACCGAGAAGGACATTGTTAATTATCTTCAGTGCACTTACCGCCTCGAGCTTCTCGAAGAGGCGCACAATCAATTGGTGTCCTCCTCACCCTGTCTTCGATCGCAAGGAAAAACAAAGGGTCTAAAAAAATCGGATATAACTTAACCCCCCACCCTTTTTTTTTTTTTTTGTAGAAATGTTTATTTGGATTTTTTTTACACTGTTGTTAGGGTCTGAATGAAAAAAAAAATCAGGGGCTTGTTGTTGCAAAGAAAAGGCTTTGCGGAACTGGAGAGTGCCAAGCCTCCATTTGCGCTGGTCACGGCGCTCAACTTTACAAAAATGAAAAAAAAAAAGAACCGTTATTTAGGAGGGGGGGGGGGGGGGGTTGGTTCTGGAAAAAATGTAACGGATTACAAGGAATCCGTTACGTAAAAAATGTAAGGGAATTACTTTAAAATTACTCGAGAAAATTTGTAATTATTCCGTTACTAAATTACTGATAAATGTAAGGGATTACAAGTAATCTCGTTACTTGTAACGGATTACGTACAAGTCTGGATAGTACTACCGATAGTTTTGCATCACTACGCCTTACTCAATGGAGCGACTCCACATTGCAGCTCGACCTATGAGAAGAAATTTACTTATAGCTGGAAAAGCCGAGGAAGTTTTTTCCAAAGGATTAGGCACGCTTAAATGTTCGAAAGCAAAGATTAAAAAAAGAGTGAATCTCAAGTTCCTCAAAGCTCGCACCATTCCGTTCGTGCTACGGGACAAGGTAGCTAAGGAACTGCGACGAGTCCAACGTGACAGAATCGTACGTCCCGTAAGAACGTTGGACTGAGCACCCATTGTACCTGTATCGAAGCAACGCAAGAATCTGCTAGGATTTCAAGGTCATCGTGAATCCTGGATCCATTCTTGTAAAGTACCCGGTTCCTAGATTAGAAATTCTATAGACCAGAATTTCGGGAGGCAATAAGTTCATCAAACTTGACCCAAAGGATGTATACGAATGGTTGCAACTGAAGTCCCGAAAGCTTGTCACCATCAATACAGTATAGACCACTTACAACGTAACCGCTTATAGTGCAGGACCGGGTATAACGCGGATTTTTTCAACCCCCGGTTCGCCTCATAAAGAACTCCATGTAATTACATGCCGCTTAAAATGCAGGCGCACGAAGAGAAATACCGGTTATAGTGCGGTTTCTGGAACAGCCCGCCGACTGCGCCGACCGACTGGCGCAGCGAGCAGGCTTCCCTGTGCGACACTAGATAACGGCGCTAGCTGCAAGCGGCACTTGCGGGGGCAAGGAGGTTGCTCGAAGAAGCGGGGAGAAGCAAAAAAAGAGGCTTCAGTTGCCATAGCGGCGGAGGGACGCACGCACGTGTCGTTCACGACGAAAGGCGTTGGAACGAGCCCAACCAGCCCAACTTCCCCCCGCTGCGTTGGAAACAACCGCAACAACAGACCAATCGCAGGTCGAGAACTGGTCGCGCGCATTGCATGCCGGTCGCGAGCCGGCTTCTTCTATCCGCAAACAGTGCGTCGGTGATGATCGTCGACGTAGACGACGTGGTGGAAGCCCATCGTTCTGCGTAAAAGCGCTATCCTTGACTGTGAATTTTCGCTGTGTGTCGCTGTGATAACCCAGCACATACTAGAAGGGAAGTGCCACCTACTCGTGCGGCGATGTCGTGGCGGCACTCTCAAGGCAGGAGAAACGCCCGTGTCGTTGTTTGTTTACCTCGACTACAGTGGTGCTTTCTAAGCATTTGTGTCCTCGAACATCACCCGGATTTCTTATTTGAGCATTTCATGCGTGTGCTCAAGTTGAAGGTATTACTGGCGCGTACCGTATAAAGGATGCGAATTTTCACGCGTTTTCATTACCGGAGAAAAGTGATTAGGGTTAGCAATCCTGAACGCTTGCAACGTCCGTCCGCAACCCGCGACGCCGTTAAAAGGCTGCGCCAGGCAAAAGTCACTCATTTCATTCAAAATGTGTGACACACTTGAGAGAGAAGTGTACTAGTCCATTGAACTAGACTTTCCTCAAACTAAGCTTTATTTTTCATCTAACATAAAATAAATTGTTTTATAAAGGTAAGTTGTCTCAAGGCATGTATTTTGGCCTGAAAAATCTATGTTTTGGTTATAGCGCGGAACCACTTATAGTGTGGATTTTCGCGACTCCCGCGACTTACGTTATATGCGGTCTACACTGTACTATTCCGAAAGGTCTATCGTAATAGTGGGTCTTTTCGGGACTGAGCGCCGCATCATGACCATACGCGCGCACGTCGGTTGTTTTAGAACAATTGTCACCGTCGTTGGTCGCCGTCACCACTATCAACAAAGTGGGCGACCGAGCACGCCTCCCGGCTCAAGACGAGCGGATCGCCACGAAGCATGATAATAAAGGCGGCCAACGCGATTGCAAGGGGCGGTGCCGGGGCAAAACGGCCCACTGGACAAGAAGCAGTCAAGGGGAAACGGCACCAAGGGCGAGTCGAACCGAGAAGCATGGTTCTCGCAGACCACTCCTACCGGGCTGTCTTTTCTCTAACCTCATTCTTTCATCACTCAACTACATACAGTATAGACCACTTACAACGTAACCGCTTATAGTGCAGGACCGGGTATAACGCGGTTTTTTTAAACCACCGGTTCGCCTCCCATAGAACTCCATGTAATTACATACCGCTTAAAATGCAGGCGCGCGAAGGGAAATACCGGTTATAGTGCGGTTTTTGGCAGAGCCCGCCGACCGTGCCGACGACCGGAGCAGCGAGCTCGCTTCCCTGTGCGACAGTAGATAACGGCGCTGACGGCGCGATCCGCACGCTGCACTAGCGGGGCAAGGATGTTGCTCGAAAAAGCGGGCAGAAGCGAAGAGAGAGGCTTCAGTTGCCTTAGCGACGGAGGGACGCACGCACGTGTCGTTCACGTGCGTGCGTCCCTCCGCTGCGTTGGAAACAAAGAAACGACAGACCAATCGCAGGTCGAGGAGAAGTGTTCGCGCGCGTTGCATGCTCTCTCCTTTCCCCCCCAACCTCTCTTACAACGCTTCTCCTCCTCCTCCTCCTCCTCTCCGGTCGCGGGCCGGCTGGGCCGGCTGCTTCTATCCGTAAACATGGCGTCGGTTGTGATCGTCGTCGTAGACGGCGTTCATCTCATCGTTCCGCGTAAAAGCGCTATCCTTGACTGTGAATTTTCGTTGTGTGTCGCTGTGATAACCCAGCACGTAGTACTAGAAGGGAAGATCCACCTACTCGTGTGGCGATGTCGTGGCGGCGCTCTCAAGACGGCAGAAACGCCCGTGTCGTCGTGTTTGTTTACTTCGACTACAGTGGTGATTTCTAAGCATTTGTGTCCTCGAACATCGCCCGGATTTCTTATTTGGCGCATTTCATGCGTGTGCTCAAGTTCAAGGTATTATTGGCGCGTACCGTATGAAGGATACGAATTTTCACGCGTTTTCATCTCCGGAGAAAAGTGATTAGGGTTAGCAATCCTGAACGCTCGCAACGTCCGTCCGCAACCCGCGACGCTGTTAAAAGGCTGCGCCAGGCAAAAGCCGCTCATTTCTTTCAAAATGTGTGACACACTTGAGACAGAACTGTACTAGCCTGGTGAAATAAAGACTTTCCTCAAACTAAGCTTTATTTTTCATCTAACATAAAAATAAATACTTTTACAAAGGTAAGTTGTTTCATGGCATGTATTTTGGCCTGAAAAATTGATGTTTTGGTTATAGCGCGGTACCGCTTATAGTGCGGATTTTCGCGACTCCCGAGACATACGTTATATGCGGTCTACACTGTATTAAAGACGCTTTTGCGTTCCGTTTTTTGTACGAGTGTCATGCCTCATCGGCATAAGAAGGTTGAACAAACCACAGACCAGACTACTGCTCGGAATGTGTTCTGCGATCTTCCAAAAAGAGGTGGAAAACCTGGTGCAGGACAGGACCCATGTCGTCATGCATTTCAACAATATTCTGGTAAAGACCAAGACCACCTACAGAATCTGAAACAAATATTTCTGCATCTAAAGGAAGCAGCCCTCAAACTCAAGTTCAAGAGATGTACAATGCTCGATGAAACGAACCGGTAAAGCGCGTTTCCCTGCGCGGATACAGTGACTCTAGTGATCAGCCGCTCCTTCTGCGGTACCGGTGCTCGTGGCTCTCGGCGTCATTCACGCTTCCACCAGAGCCTGTGGGGGCTCCCTAGCACCCGCCCTTGCTGAGCGACTCGGCTGTATTCCGCTCGCTTATTATGGCAATAGAAGCTCGCGTTTATCGGGAGAAAACTGCGGGTGACAGTGCAGGACCGATCTCCGCTCCCTATCACCGTTCTCGGCCGTTCGCTCGCTCCCGGAGCAAGAGCCTCCCCATAATCCTCCCCGTTCCGAAACGTGATGCGACCTCCCTTTACGTGGCCGAACGAATGCGCATTCGCCGTCTCGGTCCACCACCACCTCGCAAAACGAACGAGATGTGCTTCCCTAGCGTGTTACGCCGTCTACACGACCGCGCTGTATGCTACAACTAGAATCGATGTGAATTAGTCTCATTCGTGTAAAAGCGGCTACCGAGTGCAAATGGCGGAAGAAACAACCGACGAGGAGAGGAGGCGCGGCAGACGCGAGCACTCACCGGCCTTGGCAACCCTGAGGGCGGCGTTGCGGGCTTCCGTGAGGCTCGAGTCCCTGTGGAGGAGGGACACCCCCCCGAAGCTGCTGGCCTTGGTCACGGGGGGCGCCGCCAGGCCCCCCTTGGTGAGCAGCGAGTAGGCCTTGGGCGCTCCAGCCAAGGGCTCCCCCTGCACGGCCACCGGACCCGTCAGCGACCCCCGAATCCCGCAAAGATTCACACTTACGGGCTGGCGTGCAAACGAGTGCACAAGAGAAGGCATTGCTGTTCGGAAGCCTCATTTGACAATAGGTAATGCAAAAACAATACAGGGTGTTTCACCAGCCTCTGCTGCGTCACGACGCAGCAGAGGCTGGTTTCACTATATCTCCACGGGGCACGGTGCCGTCGGGGCCGAGATGCACTCCGATAGCAAACCGAAACTTAAAAACCCGTTGAGTTTGTGCCGTTTTTCAGAAAGCCGTAAAATGCTTTGCATGCCTTCTATTGTTCTGCAATTTGTTGATTTAGTGTTTTTGGATGATGCTGAGCAATTTTTTAAATGAAACCATGCCCTTAAACACAATATTAAAAAAGTTAATTACACAAAAATAATTAAGTCTAATTATCTCAGACTTTAATAATTTTCCTAAATAGGCCCCTGGCCCAGGACCAAAACGACGCAAGTCTATTTTTGTTGCGACGCATAGTTTTCACAATATCAAATTTGTCCACCTTTCGTGAAACACCCTGTACATACGGGATGTCAGACTTGAATTCCGACAAATTTATTTAAACGAAGCCGCAAAAGGTTTACTATGTGAGCGAGTTATATGGCAGGGGGGGCATAACACGAAGGGTTAATCGTCGCAATAAGTTGCGTAATCAACCCAAATTTGTTCATCAACTTTTTTATTAACGAAAATAGACTTATAGTTTCAATTAGAAGCTCGATGAGCATCATCTAAAACCTCCGTCAATTTTAAAAGGATGTGGAGCACGTGGTAAGCGCGAGGGTGTGCTAAACTTTCCACTTGGGCAACAGATGCTACGCCAGAGGTCGGCATTTTAGGCCGCCCTCACTTACCCTCACAGCCACACTCACCTTCAGCCCCTCACTCACCCTCACAGCCACACTCACCTTCAGCTCCTCACTCACCCTCACTGAACCTCACGCAGTCATGGCCTTCACGCCACTCACACACTCACGGCCCTCACTCATGAATTTTCCTGGTTCAGAAACTCACTCACCCTCACCTGCAAACATGAGGGTGAGGGGGGCCCTCATGAATGAGGTTGGCCGAGGCATGCGCTACACTTGGTGTTCCAAAAACACAGATAAAATGTTATCAATTGCGTTTTCGGATTGCCGGGGTTGCACTCGTTGCAGGAGTGGAAAGTTTAGCACACCCCCGTGCTTACCACACCCTCCAAATCCTTCTCAAATTGACTGAGTTAGGTTTTAGATGATGCTGACCAAGTTCCTAACTGAAACCATATGTTTATTTTCATTACTTAAAAAGCTAAATACCATATTTTAGTTCATTATTTGACTTACTGCAATGATTAGCCCCCTGTAATAAGTCTCCCTGGCCGTATAAGTCTCCTGCACAGAGCACGCTAACCCATTCGCTAACAAGCCGGCGAATCGCCGGGCATGCCATCAGGGGCCATATTGCCAAGGCCGGCGATTTGCCGGTCTGCATGAATTTCTGTTTTAAACAGCCATTCATACATGGCGAGCTATGTAGACTTGGGGTAGTGTAGTTAGATACATTGCCAACAGATGGCAAAGGTCGTTCTGTTCGTTTGAGCTTGTTCTTTTGTCTGTAGTCTGCCCGCTTGGAGAAGATGGCAGCGTCCAGTGTATGGTGTGGTCTTTCTGACGATGAAAACATAGATATCCTCTTCAACAGCTATGATGACCGGACGTGTGGCGAGGATAGTGAGTTTTCGGAGCCTTCTGTGAACAACGGGAGCAGTTCCGACAGCAGTTCTCAGTCCGTATCACGACAAGAACGCACTGGTTGTGCAACGCCTAAGCGACCGAGGATGGAGTGCTTCAAGATCTTCTATACGAGAAAGAATCCGCAAGGGCCTATCGATTTAAAGATTTGAACGAACCACTTAACCAAGTAAATAAACATGTTCCTTTGTTTTCTGCACTGAGTTTTACTGTAAAAGCTTATTATACAAGCCAAACAGTCACGCCTAGTGTGGCCCTGTTTTAGGGGAAAAACATGCGGTACGGACGGCCCGGTAGTGTGCGACGGGCGTGGTAGCGAAGGGGTTAATGTATCTTTTGTGTTTTTTTTTTTGTTTTTTTTTAAATCTGTTTGAATTAAAGAGCAATTCCGATCAATATTTTTTTTAATTTGGGATTATAACTGTTTTTAGCTAAAGCAATGTCCCTGAATTACAAGGTATGATTTTTTTCTTCTCAATATTGTGCATACTGCAGTTTTATAAATATCAGGGGTCAAAGTTTGGTTTCAGGCGTCTACAACAAAATCGAAACTATCTGCTAGAGGGATGGCAACACTGATCATCAGCCATATGGCCGCGATGTGACTTCACCATGGCACTGCGGCATGCAGTACAACCAATCAACAGCTGCTCCACCACGATGTGACGTGACAAGGGTGCTGCGCGAGTGTTCCTCGACTAAAAGCTAATCCACTTGCCGCCAACTAAAGAGCAGCTGGTCGCATCTTTAAAATCGGTTTTAGTGGAGGCGGCTTCACTTTATTGTAAAATTTTGGGCTGTGATCATATTTCGTGCCACTAAAGCGATATCAGTCTTTTTTTTTTTTTTTTTTTAACTGCGATTGCCCTTTAAAATCAAACACCCTGTTTATGGAGAACAGCAGCTTCCCGTCTTTAAGGGTGCAGCCTAAACGAGACACTTTGCAATGCAGGGCACAGCTCCCATCAACTTCGGGTAGACAACATTTGCTGCGATTAAAGGGCAGAAAATGACCTGCAACGCCACCCCAACGAGTGTCCCTTACCTATCTCTGCTGTTTAACCACAACGACTCCACTTCATTCCGGTTGTTTCGGCGAGCCGAGTAATGTGCCGCCTTTCGAGACACGCCAGTGGGAACTCTAACAACCGTACACAGCAAACAATCTGGTCACCTGGTAAGGTTCTTAATTGAGCTAGGAAAAACAATATTCGTAAAAATTGGGAGCAACCACATAAAACACTTAAAGATACACTTAAAACATACACTCGAGGGTAATAACTAAAGAAAGGAAACTGCGAGGTAAAATTTCCCAGAACAAATCAAACGCATAACCTACTCCCCAAAGTTAGCGACACCCGTAAAAACGCGAATGCTCAGGTGCCGTCGCGTCGCTCCGCGAGGCTCCCATTTTCACCGACGGCAACTAACTGAGCAAGGTTTGCCCGCACGCATTGGCCATACTCGAGAGGCGATTGGACGACGTCGTGCCTTGTGCAGTCTCTCTCCCCCCCCCCAAAGAAAGAGAAGGGAAGAGAAAAGCCAAGCAGATAGAGAGAGGACCTGGGGGTCTGGCCCCGAGGGCACCGCCAGCCTGGCTCCCTGGAGCAGGTGGCGCCTGCGCTCCGACGAGTCCGAGTCGGTGCTGCTCCAGGGGCGGGTGTCCCCCCCGCTCCACCGGAGCTCCTCCTGGCTGCTCCGGCTCGGAGGGGAGTCGCCCACGCCCTCCTGCAGTGCACCCGCAAGCCCCCGAAGACGGGCAGCAGAGAGAGAGAGAGAGAGAGAGAGGGGGGGGGGGGGGAGGGAGAGCACAGCTCGCCTTAGCCACGCCAGCTCCGCACCTGCTGCTGCGGGTTCCATCGCAGTGCTCCCCGTGTCCCACTAGAGCGCCGTTCTCGTACAAGAGTTTGCGGAACCGTCGGGGTCCCCGAAGGCTTTGACCGTCGGTCGAGCCAAACAATAAAACTTTCCTTTTATCGATGATGACCATCCCAGGAATGTGTGAGTAGTGATATTTCACTTCAAAGTGGATATAAAGCAAATAGTTTCTTTGTTCAAATAATTTCTAACCAAATCGAATATTTTTGAAGCGAAGCGAAGAGTTTGCAACTGTCAATATGTTAGTGATATGATAAAAAAAAAAAAACCTTAAAACTAGGAAATAAAAAGGAACACAACAAAATCTGAAGGGTTCTTTACCATGATCAGTTACCAGCTGGCCCCGCATAATCACTCGTATATCAATACAGTCACGTCTCATTAACATGGACACTTACGTTGCCCCTGAAACACCGTCCATAATTGGAATCGTCCACAATGTGAATCGCCTACAACAGTGAATCAAGGTCAAGATCCCAAGCAATGAACGAGAAGCGTGGCCACAAAAGACACATCTTTTTTAGGTAAAAAAAAAAGCCGAGACTCATTCACACAGACAGTTTGGTGTTAGCTATTAAAAATGCAATCCACAATAGATTTGAGAAAGTAGACTCGTTGAACTTATTTTCATTGCTACTTTTGTTCCAGCCTCGGTGAGTGAACTAGTATAGACCTTTCCTGCTTACTCTCGCCCCCGACCACCAAGTAGGCATATCTGGTATGAGCGACGAAAAAATATTAAAACGTTTCAACCTGCAAATAGTAAAACAAATAGAGGGGAGACAAAATTTTTCGCCCATACTGGAAGTGACGTATTTCAAGATGGCGGCGCCCTAGTGAAAAAGGTCTATAGAGTATGTACTGCATACTGTTTTCGTTAGCTTTATTAATTCAGAATTAAGGTACATTTTGCAGAGCTCCAAACTTCGAAATACTCGGAAAATATTCAAAGTTGCCAAATGGCCCCATTGGATTCAAAGCTGAAATCGAGTAAGACATTATTCACTTCGACCTCCCTTGTCCCGACGCTAAATAAACCGAACCGAGCGTGCCAAGCGAGTGGGGTCGATCATTCTTCATTTCAGAAGTTCCAAGTTGGTTTGAAACGCATTTAGTGTCCCTCATTCATCCTTTTGTCATTGTAATCGTTTGAGACTGCCTCCCAGTGGATGGAGTAATCCATCACTACTGCCGATCCATAAGGGCTCATCAGTGGCCGAAAAGCACGGCACCAGAGTGACAGACGCACAACCGACACCGAGAAACCGGTGCAGGATACGTATGCAGGTACCTCGATAGGCTCTCGGTCTCTCCATGCTCGTAAGCAAGCGTGAGCGACTGTGAGC